GTCGGTCAGTCGGTCAGTCGGTCAGTCGGTCAGTCGGTCAGTCGGTCAGGCAGGCAGGCAGGCAGTCAGTCACATTTCCTGGCCAAGAGCCTTCCGTACAGATTGTTGGGGACCACAATTTGTGTTCATTCTTCAAGTCTTGGCGAGTTCCGTCTCTGGACTTCTTGTTTGTTTCATCCTGGCCGTCTGGAATGTGCTTGTTTCGACCTGACACCTCATCAGGTGGTCTCCAAGCATGAGGCCTCTGAGCAGGATGGGCATTGGATTGGGGAAGCCCCTGGGGAAGTGTCCCAAGAGTGGCGGGAGCTTCGCTTGGCCAAGACGTCAACCCGGTCACGGCCCGGGTCCGCGGAAGGGACTGGGCAGAGTGTGGTGAAGGTGAGCCTTTGCGAAGGAGCACTTCTGGTTGTGTGAGTCTCTTGTTTCGTGGATGTGTTTTAGAAGAATAGGGAGACCTGCCTGTCTGGATGAATGGGTTCCAGTCTATTTTTGTCTTGCCGGAGGTCTTTGGAGTGTCTCCCTATGCTCATACACACCCAAGTAGACTTTCGGTTTAAAATGCCTGGACACTCCCTGAAACCCTCCACAGCAGCACAGCAGGAAGCATAGCTAGCTGGCTAGCAGGAAGCATGAGCCTCACCCAAGAAGTGAAACTTTTTCGCTCCTCGAGGAGCGCCACCTCAGCAGGTTCCTTATTGCATGGCCTTGGCGTACACCAAGAGTCTGTGTGCTGCTGCCTTGACCGGTGCCCACGTGCAAGAAGCGCTGCCCTTGGACGCCATCCCTTCCCAGCGTGCCTTAGTGATCGGTTTGGGGGGCTGGCTCCATCCCACTCTGGTTGGAACACACTTTCCCAGCTGAGAAGATGCGGGTGGATGCTTTGGAGATTGATCCCGCCGTGGTGAAGGTGGCGACGGAGGAGATGGGCTTCCCCAAAGAAGCAGTACGACCCTCCAAGACGGCACAAGAAGCAGGGAAAGATGCAGTCTCCAACACTGAAGCCCTGCGAGTCTACCTGGTCCCAGGCGAGTCGACCCCCTCAAGTGTTTGTCAAACACGGTGCCTGAAATCACGAACGCCCTGTGCACTCCCTAGGGCCTAGGGCCTAGGCGACGAACTTGGGGCCAAAGATGTTCTTGACTTAAGATTTCCTTTTGGATTCGACAAGCCGTTGAGGTGAAGACTTTGTGGAAGCTTTAGCATCCCAGAGTGACGCCTACAAGTATCGGATTTGACATGCTTAACGCAAAGGTGTGGGTCAAGGGTCAACGCCCGAAGCTATGGCAGGCTAGCGGACATCCCCTACGTGAAGCAAGTGGTTTTTCTCACTTTCAGTGTGAACCTGCGAACCACTTGCAGTTATTCCTTGACCCACCACCAGCTGCTTTCATTCCTTCCAGCTGTTTGTTGTCTAAATCTCATGGTGTGACGGTGTGACAGAAACGAGAAAAAGACTGGCAAGGGATTGACAGCTTGTTTGTGTTGGTGTGACTCACATTGACAAGGGATTGAATGTTTGGCAACTTGTCTGTGTGACATGTTCCTCAAAAGAGTTCCCCTTTTGAATCCTTTTTGATTTCTCCCAGTCTCACTTTTGCTCGATGTCAGGTATGATATGGTCTTCATTGATGCCTTTGATAAGGCTGGTAAGGTGCCACCCGTTCTCGTGGATGGCGAAGGTACCTTCTTGCAAAGCTTGAGCCAGGCCGGAGACGGGTCTGACTCAGTGGGACCGAAGCAGGAAGACGAAAGAAGCGAAACCAGACCCCCTTCACTCCGCAAGACAAAACACCGTCCAGGACAAGGTGAAAGACATTTCCATGTGTCTTTTGATGCAAAGGTCAAAGGTCAAAGAGATTCCCTTTTTTGAGGAGCATCGTTTTTCAGGTTCGATCCATCATATTCTACAATCTATGGCACCCATTTGCATCTCTGAGTCTTATAAGCCCTAGGCTCTCTCAGACGACAGAGTTGCACGGTTTGAAGGAAGAGACACATGAAGCTGGACCCTTGTGATTCCAGCTTCATGGGGGCTTTTTGGTCCATGTCCGCCGATGCCTGTGCAAAGCGAGCCGATGGGAAAAAGGAGTTGTCCGTCTCCCTCCCCGTCGGATGGTCTGTCAACGAGGAAGAGCTTCCGAAGTCATTTCGTATATTATATATATAGACACATATATATATATATATATGGGTACAGAGATGAAATCATATCTTTTTGGCCTGGTTGCTTCACTGCGGCCGAAGAAGCCTGTTTGACACCAGCTATTGTGATGGGTGCCCGAAGACCTGGCCAAAGAGGTTTGAGGTTTGGTGTCGTCACGAAGGGAACAGGCAGATACTTGGCCAGGGCCACCCACCCGCGCACACGATCGCCGCTTGAGGTCCTTGCTCCCAAGGCAACGGTGGTGTTGAATCTCTTGGTTGGCATGACGGGCACTGGCAGTTGTGGAGGCCCTCAAGAGATTGAGGCCATGGTGACGTCCATTCAAAAGAGTCTTGGTCACGCACGTGTGACGTGGTATGCTGGGACGACCATCGCCCATGTCTCATGCTGACAGTGTTTCCCTTGAAAGAACTTGGAGTCGAGAGGAGTGCTGGAGCTCTCAAATAAGCAAACAATATTGGACCTTTCTGAACTTCCTTTTCTTTATTCTTTGTTTCTAATAGCAATGGCCTCCAAGAAGTGATGGCCTCCAACCTAGAAGCGGTGGCCTCCAACCTAGATGGATGATGAACTTGCAAGATTCATGGAAACGCAGCTTCCGTCAAACTTGCCTTTTTCGCCCGCACATTCGACGATGTGACGATCTCCTTGGGTCGCAGTAAGGACGTGCTGCAATGCTTCCTCCGAGATCTTCACCATCCGGACCCCAATTAGTGAAAGCAGTGGTAATCAGCTGTACGGATTTCTACGTGCAGGGCGTTCTGACCGGTCGAAGCCCTTGAAAGAAGCTCTCAAAGAAAGTGCTGAGATGGTCAATGCCGACTTCCCGAAAGATTCGTCTGGATCTAAGTCTTGGGGAGAGTAGGTGCACTCACTGCTCTTGGGGCATCCTTGTTGTGCTGAACCACGTGATTTTTGACACGGCATACCAGAAAGGTCCGACCGATACGACGTCAAGGCAATCCAAGGTATCGCAGGCTTTAAGAAGTTAATTCACCAGCACCCCATGCTCATGCAACAAAGGATACTAAGTGGGGTGGTCAGCTATATTAAGTCTTTCTGTATTCGTATTGGCCGCTGACTCAATCCAGAATTCCAGGTCCACGGAAGAGGTCCAAGTCCTGCTTTGTGAAAACAAGAATGTGTCGGTGTTGCCTGCTTGACCAGTCTGGGCTGTTGATCTCAGGCTGGGACAGAAGATTCGCTTTGATTTGGCTCGAAGGGTGGTCTTCAGCTATCAAGACTGGCCGAAGAAGAATTGAGCACCGCGAGTTGACAGAGTTCAGGTCGTGAATGTTGGCTAAAGCCTTCAGTTTTGCAGGATTTTTTGCGTTTGAGCCGGCTGGTGGCCCGGCGCATGGTTTTCAGCTCCATGAGTGGAACCAAAAGAGGCCTGGCGCCTCCCGCGTTTCGGCGAGGCCTCCACGCTCCGGTCGGGTGACCGGTCCCACGCCAGGGCGAGCCACGCGGCGGGGGCGAGCCAAGCCCCACCAGGCCGGGTGGTCGAAGGTGACAGGGGAATGGCCGAGAAAAGAAGGTTCACCGTCTAAAGATGTTTAAGATCTTGAAGCCTGCAGCGTTTGCCTCGAACAAAAGAAAACTCAAGCGTGCAATTGTAAGTTGCAAGGCGATGGCCCTTTTTCACACTGGGCTTGATTGAACACACCGTGTTGTACACGGCTTGCGCCGTGCGTAGGGGGCGGCGCCCCGTGTCGTCCACTTCAAGCGCTGGTGGACACCCCGCCCTGGGACGGAAAACGGGGCCTGTCACGGCCTGTCACGGCCATCCGGAGTCTCTAATGGCCGAGGAGTGGATCCACAAGAAGAGCTTCAACGGAAGGCCCATCCCTGTTGCACCGGCCCAATGGTGGTGGAAAAGGATTTTGCCGGGTGCGGGGGATTGCAGGGGTCTTTTTTGAAACTTTGGGCCGACCAACACCCACCCAGAGGTCCAGATGACAAGTACTCATCTATCCACATGGTAGTGTAGTGGTGGAATATGAATATAACAGGTGGGGTCGAATGATTGGAAGTTCTGGGTTCAATGGGCTCAATCTTTCACAGCTTAGGACTTTTGATCACTCAAGTCGGGCCCCTGAAGAGGCCATCGAGTCACTCGAGATCCGCTCGGCTTCTGACTGTGTGTCGTTTTCTGGTTATCTTTCTTGCTTGACAACCGGATCTTGCTTGACAACTGGATCTTCCTGGGTCCAATTTCTTTGAGCCATACACACAGCACCCTCCCTCCTCGAATGTTTCCTTCTTTGAAAGCTGCAAGGTGACCAATCATGACTCCCCACGGAATTGCGTAGCCGACCATGTCGCGGTGATGGATGACAGCCGCTTGGCATATAGAAAGAGGGCTCAAAGGACAGCGAGAGTAGCGCGAGAGCGAGAGAGCGCGAGAAAGAATGAGAGAAAGAGAGAAAGAGAGAGAGAGAGAGGCAGAGGGGGCAGAGCGCGAAAGATGGAAAACACTTTTGCATGGGCTCTTTGAGGTTGGGTCACGTGATTTGCTCGTAACCGCCCTTTGAATGACAGGAACAGAATAAAGGACCCGACTGAGCCACCCCGGCTCAGGTGCGGATTCAGCGATTGTTTGGCCCGGGATGCCGAAAGAAGAGGAGTGTTTCAGTGTTTCGGTGTCTCGTTGCGGAGTCACCACGTGAGTCTAAGGAGGATAAAATAAGATTTCGAGCTGTGAACGGGCGCAAGCTCGACTTCCTATAACACCTGCACTCCATCCTAGTGAGTCGGAGAGCAACTTTATTTGCAGAGGTCAACGCGGTTGGGCTTGAACTCAGACGGCGCATGACAGGTATGTCGGGACCTTCGTTGCAGCATGCATGCAATGTGCCCAAGAAGCCTCTCTTGCAGAAACGAAGCACAGGTCACAAGTCTCCATCAATCATCAGGCCTCTAGATGTCTCCAGCTCTTCATCTCCGACCCAAACTCCTCAAAACGACGGTTTCTTCGCGGCATCGGCATCGTCCTACGGTCGAGGAGCGCCTAGAGCCAGAGCCAAGAGAACAGCCCAGCGAGCAGCCCAGCGCGGGCAGGAGACGGGCCCTTCAGAGCACCTTGTGTGGAAATGGCACACGGATCTGACTCGCGTCTGACTTGCCCTGCCAAAGGGTTTGTTGCAAAAGGGAGAATGTCTCATGAAGCCGCGCTGGGTCTATTTTTGAGCTAGAATGGTAGGTGGCAAAGAGATCAAAGGCGAGAGGAGAAAGGAGAGAGGAGAGAAGCATCATTGCGGGGATGCACTGTATGCAATGTTAGTTTTAAAAGTGCTTTGCTTTGAAGCTGCGAAGGAGTTTCGATGCAAATCCTTTTGACAGCCTTTCTTTTAGAAGCCTTCAAAACTGGCACGTCCTATGAAATGTATTGCGCGCGATGATGAGTTTGTCTTGCGCATTCGTGGATCTGTGGCATGGAGGGGTTTGGGAGACCAAGAGAATCGAGACATAATGAGAAGATGAGAATGGGCACCGACTATTAGACCGTCCAAGTGGCATTGTGCTTTTGCCGTGTTGTTCATTCATGGGTCTATGGCGTGTATGCGTGCAGAAACAAGTTCCGTCTATGATAGATACGGGTGTGCTTGACGGGAAGTACAGACAAGAGAACAAGAAACGAGACATGCAGAGGTGTTCCGATGGTTGCTGTATTGCTGAGCAATGTGCTTTCCTTCTCTCCCTTTGAGAAGGCCTTTGGCTTCCCCCAAGATGAGTGTGCAAAAGAGTTTTGAGTCCCCCCACTTGGAGGGTCTCTCTGGACTATGCAACCCCTCCCTCATTTTTAACGTATGCGTGTGCAGCATATGTGCAAATGGAAGAAGGAACTCAAGCTGCGGAGGGCCCACAAGCGGCCAACCACCGCAGCCAGGGAACCAACTCCTGCGGTCCTGCGGATGTGTCTGACGCTTTGCCCGTGTGTGACCAGGACCCCCCCCTGACAAAGCGGAGTCCATGGAGCTTGAGTCACTTCCGGTGGAGGCACGCCATGGCCTGCACGCTTTTTGAGCCAATCTGTGAACAAGTCTGCCCACAGGTGCCGGTGCAAACTCCGCCGGCAGCAGGTGCCTTCGGTGTCCGTCCGATTTTTTTCACGAGCAAGACACTTTCCTCCCACTCCGAAGGAGTCTTCTAGCGAGTGGCCTCTTTCTTGTGGCTGGGTTTGTGGCATTTGATCGGATAAACACTCACAGAATCAGAAGACATCCGTTCTTACATGTGCGTTTCGAAGAAAAACCATGGAACTGCAAGTGGTTGGTTGATTCTAAACTCTGACTAGCTTGTCTCCAATACATGGAGTTTTGAATTGACTTTCATCCTCTTTCATCAATTTTGGACATCACTTCAACCTTTCCAATGAGTAGACTGAGTAGACTCTTGATGTTTTACAATCCACATCATTACGACCGCAGTTGCCTCAGTGGCGCCTGCACCTGCGCAGCCTGCGCCTGAGCACGCTGCCCGGATTCCCACGCCGCACGTGCTCCTGCAGAACGAGGCGACCGGGTGGCGTGAGCTTGAGGTGCATCGGTAGGGACAAGGGCATCGCTACTAGTAGTAACAATAAGAAGCTATTAGAATTTAATTAGAAGCTTCTTGTTACTACTAGTAAGGTCCTTGCTCCTAGTAGCGATGCACTTGTTCCTAGTAGCACCTGGGGACACGGCCCGGCCTGAAAATGGACCAATCGACGAACAGCTGCAGCGGTTGGGGAAGTTGGTCTCAATATTCTAGTTCAAGTGACTCAAGTGTCCTCAAGTGTGCGTATGTGCGGTTCTGGACCTCCGGAGTTACTGACTTGGCGGGTTCATGCCACTGGAAGTTACTGTAGCATTGCAGGATGCTTTTCAAGTGGTTTTAGTACAGCCACACTTTGGTTTCACAAGTTCGACATCGACGTCCTCAATCCACTGGCCCTTTGAAGATCGAAACATGTTGAAACATCGGTCAGGAAGTTCTTCTGTCTGGCTCGACCTCTTTCTACGTCCACGAACGGATGCGCCTGATGACATTCTTCACGGTCACCCTGAGGGTGTTTGGTGGACCTCCAGATGTCCCAAAAGCTCGGAGGGGGAGCTGTGCAAGAATGGACTCCGTGAGGTTCCGTGAAGAGCGGATTGGAACGACACGAGACTTTGAAAGACGTTGTTTTTCTTCATGTTCTTTTCTGGTTCCCAGACTTCTTTGGCCCGACCGGGGGCTGGACCAGCCTAGTCCACTGAGCCAGCTGCGAACGCGGCGACCTCTCGTCCAGGCAGGTTCGCTGGTCGTGCCGCAGACCTGGAGATTCGCCCGGGTCCTGGTGGACCGGTGGACACCGTGATGGAGTTGTTGGGACCCGGCCTGCCCAATAGTGATGTTGAGGGATGCTGGCTTGGTATTTTCAAGTGATTCTGATTGGGAGGGCGGCCACGCCAATGGTTGCTGATTGGACATAGAGGATTTTGGCAAACTCGCGATAGAGATATAGAGCTCGTTGGAACTCGCGATCGAGCTCATTGACTGGTCATTTGCAGCCTGGAATCAACATGAAAGGCTTCCGCCCAACCACGCCTTCGCCCCCCGCCTTCGCCTCCGTCGTGCCCACGTCCGTTGGGAGGTCTTGCCGCCTCCCGAACAAGCGCCGAAGCCCGCCTATGAGAAGCCCCGAGAGGCGGAGAACGGGGTATGATGGGAAAGAGGCTGCCAGTAACAAGGGCATTACTACTAGTAACAAGCTACTAGTAACAAGGGCATCGCTACATATCGCTACTAGGAGCAAGGACGCTACTGGTAGCTCCTGGCATCACCA